CAAGAATCGGGCACAACTGCATCATCAGTCTTCTCCTATGTAGTAAATAATGTAGAGAAAAGGCAGACATATGTTAAATAGTCTTTTTTTTCAATTTCAATTTTCTTTCATTAACAATTAGTGTAGCTGGGCTTACCTTGTTGCACTAATTCCTTTAAAATATGAGCACGTTCTGCAATATATTATTTAAGGTATTAATTTTGAAGGAATCACTGGTTTATTAACGCATTCAAAAAAAGCTCTGTTTAGTTAGTATTGAAATAAGTTTATTAAAGAGTTAAAATTGTTCTTTAAATGATTTTTTAATAACTAAACATTTATAAAACATGTGATGGTTTAATCCATTAATAGAAACCGGTGCTTTCAATGAATTACCATGGAAAGAGCAAAGAAGATTCTCCCTTCACATGCTTAGAGATCTCGGATTTGCAAAAACACGAATGGAAGAGCACTTGAAAGTAAGATATTTAACGATTGTTTCAAAACAAGATATAATTATNTGTGTTTTTAATGCCTCTCCCGTATGCCCATAGATGGGCGGGTCGGGGACATACAATAAATAACCCAAGAACCGTTTGTTCTATCTTCCTGAAATTTGAACAGCTGCTGTAGGAAGTAAATTTAGACAACAATCCTAAAATTTGTTAGAAAGTAATAAGTAGTTCATTCGGTAGAAATGTTTGAAAAATGGAATTTTATATTTGGTTGAGCGTTAGCCACCGTTTTAAATTAAATTTGTAAAGATTCTAGTTTTTTTTAAACATTTTAAGGAAAATATTTTTACTCTGTGGCGGGTTTCAGAAAAAATGGTGCCTTCCGTAGCTTAATCTTGACCGTGAAATCACCACTACCATCAGCAGATTGCGGACGGGGCACATGAGAGGTATGAAGATCATGCCCGACGGCTCTAGAACCTACGCAGATTGTAGGCACTACCCGGGGATTCAGCTGGATCGAGGCATATCTTCAACTGTATCTCTGTTGCCTCGACCCTCTTTAACCTCATCGACCTCAACTGCTGCCACGACACCCTTTATTCCGAAAAAGTCGGAGATGTGGCCAGGACTGTGCTCCATGCCTTCGGTCCCATTTGACTTGTACTTTAACCTTTCTGCACTTGTCAGACAACAACAACAACAACAAAGAAAATATTAGTGGTGTTTGGTAGCTTGTAGCTCGATTAGATAAAAAGGAGTTTATGTTTCTATAAAACTAAATGATGCTTAATTAATTTGGCAGTAGGTACTAATTCAAATAAAAAAATAAATTATGTAAAAAAAAAGTGAAATTAATGAAAAAGCGGTACTAATTAATTTAGTAGAAAATTCGCTATACTTTATTGTCGCCAATAATGCTTAATTAATTTTGGTAATAGACACTACTGGGAATTGGTGCAGTGTAAATACGTGACAAATGCACTAGTGCAGGTACTAAGTGCTATGGTGTATGAAAGCACGTAGCATTTAAAAGTAAGATCTTTAGCGGGCATCTAATTGTATGATTTAAGAGGCATTTAAAAAGTAGAATTTTTCAACGGCTGACCTAAAAATTAAATCTAATGAGCATTTAAAAGTAAGATATAATGTGTCACGTGCTTTTTATAACTCACATTTTCGTCACAATAAGCATTTAACAATGGATATAGAAACTTTTCCGGTTTTATGCTTTATATACGCAATGTGCGATGGAAAATCAGGTTTCCTTAAAATTTGAGAGTATTATAAAACCAATTAAAAAAAGCTTTTGCTTATTAAATGCTTTTCCCTACAGCATAATGGAAATTTATGTACCATTGACATTTTTTATGAGCTTTTTATTATTCATATGGAGTATATAATATCTATATAGTTAATGTTTTTTTCTTAATGTCACATGAGATTTTCAGAAAAATTGATATCTATTTCGTTTCAGATCTACAAACTAATCTGATAGAGTTATGTTGTTAAATAATACTAGAAAATACTAACAGGGTTTTTTTCTTTGTAACTTTTCCCTTTTGTCTACAGGATAAAATTAACGCCCTCAAGAGTCGCAAATACATTTGTATAGAATGAAAATACTTCAAAATACATTTGTTTCCTATTACAATATAGTATTTATTGTACAGTATAGTATTGTCTCAGGACAATTTGCTAAACAGCTTCCTCTATAACGTGAGTAAACGCAACTCAGAGGAATAAATATGTTATTATTTTTAAAGGTTTAAATAATATTGTAAAGCAAACATGAAATTAATATTTAATATTTTTCATAGAATTTTTTGAATTCATTTCATATTATTATCTTATTTCTCCCTTACTTTTTCTAGGAAGAAATTCATGATTTGTTAGAACATTTTGAAGAGTTTGGAGGAAAGCCAATTGTTCTTAAGCCTCTTTTAGCTCCTAGCATGTCTAACAACATAGCCACGCTTGTTTTCGGGCAAAGGCTAAAATATGATCATCCAGTGCGTCGAATGCTGGATAAGGGTTTAGGTGACGCTGCTGCAGCCGCTGGACAAGTAGCCTGGGAACTATTTTTTCCATTCCTAGCCAGTGTTGTAAAATTGCTTGGTTTCGGTGGAGCTGCTAAAATTGCTAAAACTCAAAAAGAAACTAAAGAATATATCCAGTAAGCATACATTACCTAGATGCTGTAATATTACATTCGTATTTAATTAATACGAAATTTAAAGATGTGATATTCACTGTTAGAAATTTGGTTCTGCAACTACAGTAAAATAATCGGCTGCAGTCTGTCCATCTAGTGAGGAGTAAAGTATATGGATCGGAAAAGTTTTTACCCTTTCGGCCTTGAAACCAAATGTAATTCGTATAATTGAAAAACCGCGAATTTTGTAACCATTTACTACTAGCATGATTTCAAAACTGTAAAAAAGATGACATTTAACTGGACATTGAAGTTTCTTGTATAGGCTTTTCCTCATGTTTGGAGTTTAGGGCGCAAATGGAGGATTTCTAGGACTCAATCTTAAAGATTCGAGGGAGGAACTTGAAATATGCTGCAAAAACATTCTTTCTCTAAATATAAATATACATTTTTTTCGACGCATTCGGATTTCTGACCCCCTAAATTGAGAGGGTTGGCGAGAACTGGGAAATATGGTCCCAATGGTTTGATCATTAGAGTGGTCCAAAGTTTGGATCGTTTATTGTTAATTTTATTTTTTTGAAAATTTTACCATATTTCAAACACAATTATTAAATTCGTTTATATAAAGATAATTCCATGCAAGATATTATTTTTGGTAAATATTTATTGTTTTATTTTAGACTATAAAAAAAAAAATTGAATTGTAAGGTATATGCAATTCTTTACATCTTTTCAAAGAATGCAATTTTACATGACAAAATACAAAATCTGAGAGAAATAGGTCTAATAATTCATGGAAAATCGAATTTAAAAAAAAACAGCTTTTTTAAAATTCGATTTCTTAGGAAATATTCAACTGATTTAGCTGAAATTTTGTATTTTGTATTTTGCTATGTACAATTACAATCTTTAAAATGATGTGAAAAATCGTATATCTTACGATTCAAAATTTTTTCGACTGCTATCAAATAATATATTAAAAAATAAAATGTATTTACTATTATTAAACAACTTTAAAAAATACTGCTGCATAGCAAAGCAAACCAATCTTAAATTTTGTTGCATTATTAGTAAGATTTTTTCTAAAACTGTTTATTAGATTTTTTCTAAAACTGTTTATTAGATTTTTTCTAAAACTGTTTTCTAAAACTGTTTGTTTATTTTCATGCATTTAAAATTTATTACTTTACTACTAAAGCATTTTATATAAAAAATATTTTTTCTTCAAGCAAACAAATTGATCAACACGAGCAAACTTTGGATGAAAACAATATAAGAGATTACATTGATGGCTATTTATTAGAAATACGAAAAAGAAATGACAAAGCTTTTTGCAGTAAGTGAGATTTTCTTTATTACGTAGAAAAAAAAAATCAATAGTTTCTTCTCTCAATAATAATAGTAAATCACTATTTAAAATTAAAAATTTTAAATAATTATTTATTACAATCAGTATCAATAAAGATAGTGATATTAGAATAAAGAATATTAAATATTGCATTTATTGATATATTTATAGTTAATTATTATTTTGGTTGCTTTGAAAACAATGGCTAATTGATATTTAAACTAAGGAAGCTCCGCCTAAACTTTACGCAATAAGGCCCCGAGTGACGAAGTGAAAATAAAAAGTAGAGGAACATTAAATCAAATTATGAAGATTTAATTGAAAATAAATTTTTTGTCATAGAAATCATTTTTAAGGAAATATTTTTAATAATTTTTTGTGCTATGATGTTAAACTTCGGAAAACATTCTATGCATTACACTATTATGAATCCTTTCATGTTTACTGTAAAAAATCTTTTCTTTCTTTTTACAAATACCGTAAATATTAACTGTAAATATTTTTTTTCCTTCTTTTTTAAATTTTTTTCTTCTTGTTTCATTATTAATATTTCAGGATGAATTTCTTAATTAATATCTGTGGATTACTTACTTTACATAAGAATTATAAGCGAAGTACTTGGAATAATGTATTGCAAATGTTACTACCTGGAAAAGTGTCGAAGACTATAAATAAACTTACACTATTTTATTTAAAAGTCAATGATAAGCTAGAATAATTTTTCATCTTTAAGACTAGGATTAGGCCATTATTCTGTTTTTCAATCTG